GGGGGGCGGCGGCGCCGCGGCGGCGCTGGGGGCCGCGCTCAGTGCCAGCAAGACCAAGACCAAGAAGAAGCACTTCGTGTGCCAGAAGGTGAAGCTGTTCCGGGCCTCTGAGCCGCTGCTCAGCGTCCTCATGTGGGGCGCCAACCACACGGTGAGCCGCCCCTCCCCGCCCGGCCCGCCTCCCCCGCACCGGGGCCTTCCCCTCCGCCCTCCACCTCCGGGTCCGGCCCCCTTCTCATCATTCTAGGATCGGGGGCCTCACCCCGGGAGCAGGGCCATCCTTTCTCCATTCCAGGATCGGGGCCCTTCCCTCTCCCCCCGCCCTAGGATCAGGCCCCTCACCCCAAAATCAGGGCCTTCCCATCCTCCTGTCCACCCCAGGATCAGGGCGCTCTTCTCCTTCTCTTCATACCAGGATCACTGTGGTCCAAGATCGGGCCCCTCCCTCAGTCTCATGCTCCCCCAGGCTGGAAGCCCCCTCCTCCCTTGCAGGGGCTGGGAGCCCAGAGCCCCCCCCAGTGCTTGGTGGACAGTCTGAGGATGATGCCCCCCATCCAACCCTACCTCCCTTCCCTATCCCTGCCCCAGCCCTGGGATCCAGCACCTCCTTGCCTTCCTCGAAAGCAGTGCCCCACCTTCATGCTGTGGGGGCGAGGGGATGCAGGGCTTGCCCCCTGGTACTGTGGGCTCCCCATGTCTCCAGGCACTGGGGCTTGTCCCTGGCCTGTTGCCGCCAGGGATGGTCTGTCTCCTGGTGCCTTCAGCATCCCCCTGCAGCAATGACCCTAGTGTTCTCCCTGTCCCCTCAGGGCCCCTGTAGCTTTAGGTGTCTCCAGTTTTTCTGGCTTGTAGCCTCCTGTGAGAGGCTACCCCCACAAGGAGACCCCCTGCACCCTCCACTTCCAGTGATCCCCATTGTTCTCGGTGCCCTCATGGGGGAGTCTTCTGGCCACAGGCTGACCCAGGGACCCTGTTCCTCGGGCTCCTCGAGCATCCTCAGTAAGGTCAGCTACAGGAGTTGGAAACCCAGGGGCCTGTTCATTCCTACCACCAAACCCAACTCCTGCCCAAAAGATAAAGCTTCTGACTGATCCTACCACCCCTTGAGCCCTCAGTGCTGATAATCTGCAGGGTAAACCCCAAGTGACACCACCTCCCAGAGCAGTGGAGCCACCTAGTACCCCCCTCCCAGAGTCAGTTTTCCTATGACATGGGTCGATATATGCTGTAGGGAACAGAGAATGTGTGAGCATCTGTGAAGAGCTGAGCAGACACCTCCCAGTCACCTTTGAATCCTGCCTTTTGTGCTGTCAGTATGTTTCTCCATAAACTTTCTCCCTCTGCTCCTCTGATGGCACCCAGAAATCTTGCAACATTCTCCTCACATGCTTGATGAGCTGGATGGATTAGAAATGATTGCCATGTGGCTGCGGGTGATATATTCTGTAGCAGCAGTTAAGAAATCTGAAATCTGTTGTGATGGTATATTCTGTTGGGTGCAGAATGCCAGGAACCTTTCTCCTTCCTAATTTAGCATATGTATTTTGATAGTTTAGGAACATGCATTCCTTAGTATCAAACAGAAGCTTTCCTGGAGAGAGAGCAAGAACCTGAGAGAGCTATTCCTGCAGAATTGAAATGTTCATTTACAAATAAAATCAACCCCCTAGCTTAGTTGGTGATGAAGAAAACCTCCTAGGTGTGATACAATGCAATGTTGTCTTCCGGATCCTGAAGACACTCCAGTGATCTTTTTGCTTAGGGTTTTGCTTCAGAAGTAGTAGAGTGGTATTAGCAAGACTTACTTAATAGCCCTGTAGGTGAAACTGATAACTGGATCCTGGGCAGTTTTGGTTACTGCCTCATAGTGGCTTTGGAGGAGTTGCTAGGGGAACTTGTTGGGCGGTAGCTACTTTTTTGTGTCAACCTCTGGGCTGGTAAATGTATACTGGACTTTTTTCATGCCCACACATTGTAACATCACACTGAAATCTAATTAACACTGGCTTGACACTGCCAGTCTCATCCGGGAAGAGGAAGGTGGGCTGTGAGTTGTGCGTGGACATTATGCTAGTAATGGGATTCTCTTGGTGGCATGTTATGATGAAACTTCTGCTAGAAGCTGAGGCTGCATCCTGTAGGGCCAACAAGGGTTAGAAAATAGCAGCTGTGACCTCCTCGCTCTCGGACAAACATCCGGGACCGTGCGAGAAATACTTGTCAGTTCATTTTGATCTTACTCTGTGTCACTGGCTTTGTTGCTGGTACATGATGACATGGGTTGGGTTAAGTGCTAGAAAGGTGGGTGCCCAGTTTGGCTACTATACAGCAAGTGGGCTGTGATCTAAATTGGTTCTATTTCCTTGACAGATGAGCTGTTGCTTGTATTTGTGGACTCTGGGGTGATGGCACTGCAGCAGGGTTGGTAGGTGAGACGGATTAATTTAAGGTACTTGTAACAGATGAGTTAGACTGGTCCTTCTCACATTGCAACTGTGTGTGAACAAGGCCACTTGCAAATGCTAAAGGCCAGATGAAATTTTGTACAGTTGTCCAGCACTGAACAAATAGCAATAGGAAGGTGCCTCTCTATTTTACAGTTGGACAGTAAATCTGTGCAGCTTTTAAGGTGACATGCACATGCAAGTGGTTGGTGGAAGGCTGATGATGCTTTATGCGAGGCGTGCCACTTTCTTTGCAGACTAGCCCATGGCTGGACACCTAACTCATGTCTTCACTGAGGGCTCCTTAAGTTCAGGGACTGAGATGTGAGTGAGGCATATGGTGAGGGGTTTGATTAATCACAGAATCTAGAATCATAGAGAAGTGCTGGAAGGGACCTCCAGGGTCATCTAGTCCAACCCTCTGCCTGAGGCAAGATTGTCCCTATCCAAGCCAAACTTGCGTCTACTGTCTGGCTACCTATTTAAATGTACCACACAACTTCCAGACTGCTGTCCCAGGTGGAATGTGGCACAGCACGATATGTTGGAGGGATTCCCTGTAAGCTAGGCTCTTTGCTTGCTTATTCCACGGTCTTGGTTGCAGGGCATGTCCCCAGGTGGGCAGCAGGCTGCATGGGGAGGGTTGCGTCTTTCTGATACAGAAGCATTGAAACAAAGTCAGGTGGAATCTGGCAGGCCATCCATGCCGAACTACCCGGAGTGTCTTGCTGGGCATGGTTGTACTGGTTGCCTGCAGCACCAGGAATGATGTCTCGGATGCAGCTGATTTGGTAAGAAGCCACAAGCCTTACAGCTACTAATTTCCCAAGGGTTTCTGCTTCTCTCTGCCAGGCTGGTGTACAGGCAAGATGCCATGTTCCCCATGAGAAGCTGGATCTAAATTTTACCCCAAAGTCCCTACTCTCTGGGGGAGTCAAGTGAGACTTCTTCAGCAGTTCCAGATGTATTCTGAAACAGGTTTTTCTTAAGTATGAAAATAACCTTGATGCATTAGCCTCTGTGGAATTATAATTTTGTGACTGTGGAATAAAAATCTTAGCTGGAAGTTTCTGTTGAAATGATGTGAGAGAGCCACCAGAGTTGACAGTGTTGCTGTCATCCTTGGGTTTCAGAATCAACACCTTGCTGAAATGAATAGGGCAGTTCTCACCTCGGTGCTTGTTCACACTGTATGCAGCCTCAGTCCATGTGTGTTGTAAAGGTTTTCTTTACATCTCTAAGGGCTAGAAATATATACTTTTTCAAAAGCCCCTTCATTTCTGAAGCACAATTTCGAGGGATGAATTCTTTGGCCATGAAATAGGTGAGGCCCTGCCTGTGGGAGAAGTCCTTCTGGGAGCATCAGAATCCATTGACACAATCAAGATTGCAAGGACATGCTAAAACGGTTCTGTCAAAAAAGAGTTGTCAGGGACTGATCAGACAAACAATGCCTTTATGCAAGCCATCTCCTGTAGCGAAGAAATACCCTCGGGTTCATTTACTGAGTCTGGCAACGGTTCGGTTCTGCCTTATGTTTGAACAGGCTTGTTCGCAGCTGGTGTGAATACAGTGTGTGGTGGGTCTGGAGAAGATCAAGAGTGGCTGATTTGTTTGTAGGTGTTGTTAATGCATGAACAGGTTTAAACAAGAATCCTGGCTTTGTCCAGTGCTGGCTGTCTTGATCCGTGGCTGAATCAAGTGGGTCTGCCAGATGTGAACTATGATATGGTACCTTAGTAGTTCCCAGCCACATGCAGACAGGAATGAAGTGCATTTGGCTTCTGAGACTTGAACCAGGAAGCTGGTTCTGTACCTCAGTAACATGTAAACCTGCAGAAAGGAGAAGTGGGTGGAGCCAAAAAGGTTCAGACACTCGGGTTGCAAATAGCTTGCAAGCTGCTGAGTTGTGTTTGAAGAACGGATCGTGGCTGAGAACAGGGTTTTTGAAGATGCTGTTGTCATGGCTTTTGGAGAAGAACAGAAAATTCAGGTTCTTATTACTGGGTGTTCATATAGTGTCCCTCTTTGATTGTGTATGTGGACATATGTAGATGAGATTAGAAGTAGGCATTGAATTGTGATGGTTTGGGGTGGGAGGGGTTAGCTACACTTGACTGAGCAACAGTACTGTATGCAGCTGGTGAGACTAGTGTAGTTACAAGGTGGTAGTTAGGCTGTGGGGTAGGATCCTAGTGTTTACCTATGGAGTTGGAGTGTGATGCTGGGGTGTGTCTGCTTTTGTTACTACACATTGGACAGCTGTGTGCTGATTATGTCAACTTGTTTAGGTGATAATCTATCAACCAGAGCTTGTGGCTGTGTGGGAACATGGTGGCAAAAATGGCTTCTGGAAGCAAGTGTATCTCTGTCAAAATGGGCAGATCTCTTGCACTGTGCTTGTGACAACCCCCCAGTTCCACAATTTTCCTGTGCTGATTGAAGCTCCCAGAGCTGGAGTGCTGTGCACCCAACCAGGGCAGAGGGCAGCTGTTTGGTATTCAACCCAAGAAGCAGTAATTTGGCTTTGCAGCTGCCTTTCCCATCTCTGCATCACTGCTTTTGGCATTGCCATATAAATTCTGGCCAAAAGTGCATCTGCCAAATAGTGTGTTTTGAAACCGTTTAAACCGATGTACTCAGACATGCCTATATCTGTCACTTCCCTGCTATATTCTGTCTGCAGTTGACATTTAGGAAGGGCTGC